TAATATTTTACACCGTCTAAAACAACGTTTGTAGTCTTGACATTTTACTTGATCGTCTACATACGATATTATTAGATACAATTAAGTATACAGTGGTCTATCGTGTAACATAATATTATTATAATACGAATACATGATACGTGCATATAGAATAATACAAGCCATGTATCGTGTTAACGCCTAATGTATTCCTAGATGGTAATGACAGATAAGTGCAATGTTTAATTTAAACAATTAGTTTTGACAATGGTTTTGTACAAATTCGAGTGCTACCACCGCGGCAGCTGATGATAAATGATTATACGAATATTATACAATTGACACGCGGTAAAGGGTTCCGATCGATTCTTTTGGAGAACCGGTTGGACAAACGCTCATAATTTAATATACACCTCTAACCCGTGTATAACGAGATTTTTTTAAATTCAAATATACATTGGCCCGATTACCGAATTGGACGTTTCAGGAATCCGATAGTTTTATTTATAGTGTACGGGAATACACGTTATAATAAATAATTTATAAGACGTATTATAGTAAGTCGTTATAATAGGTAGATGGTATATTATAGGTATACACAGACTCAATAATGCGCGCTACGACAACGGCCCGTCTACCTCGCTATTATTTTTTCTCGCTTCAGGTACAATGATTGAATGAATGATCGACAGTAAACGATATATTTCAACGACAACGACCCGWCTAAGTAGGTAATAAACATATTATTACAATACAGACGGGTTGGGGATTTGATTTYCAGAGGGRCTTTTCTTTTTTAGTCATTGATAGAGCGCACCGGGGCTGGTAGAGGGCAATGATAAAAGTGTAGTACTTATAAATATAAATTATTTATCTGAAAGCCGATTGGTGAAGGGTTGATTTGAATTTGGAGGAGGRGAGGTGTTCTACTCGTCCCCATCCCTGAGTCCACCCATGCCAACATATACAATCTTCAAAGATATTTGTTTACCTTTATAGTATTACTGCTGTTCAAGGCCGTAGCCAAGGGGGGTTAGGGTTCAGACACCCCCCTCYGAAATTTTTTTTGGAAATAAGTTTGAATAGTTTTTTTTTTTTAAATGTCATGTTATTAATTTAAATAATATTTTATTACATAACATAATTTATACTCCAACCCCCCCCCCTAAAAAAAAATAAATATTTTTCTGGCTACTGTCCATAATAGTTAACATTTTATCCAGATCCCAGGATGTATCCGTAAAAACTAAAAATATAGGTACCCATTTGATTTGCATCATAGCTAAACAAAAGTATTTCCAGTATATAGAGAGTGATTCCAGTTTTCAATAGTGGTATGGTGGAGGGAGATGTTTTTTGCTCAAATAACCGAAAAAATAAAAACCACTCGTTCCATTCACAAGCTTGCAACTTCTACTTACTTCTTTTTATCAAAGTATAAAATTATTGTCACCTAATTGTTATTATTTGTAWATGTATTAGGCGCAATTAGCTTTTTTTATAAAAAAATGTGCTTGGAGTTAAATACATATAAGAGTGCCGTATAAAGCTATACCTACTTGAGTGGTGTCATTTTAGAATTTATAAAGGAGCCATAAAGGGTAACTTAAAAAGTGAAAAACATTTAAATTAACCGAAGATCTTTAGAAATCTCTGATAAATTTACTACTATACTTGTTGTAATTTTAGAATGTTTTCTATGTAAATTAATACATCAAATTAACATTGGAATGAAAAAAATATTTGAAAAATAAAATCATTTAGGATTAAAATATAATTTTTGTTGTACTTGTATATATGTCCGCATGTAAATCTTTGTAAAATGAAATTTGTAGGTAGGTACCTGYAAAAAGTTGTRATATTATACATTGATAATTGATGAGTTTATTTTGTCTGCATCTTTCCATTGACCGTTCGTTATTAGAAGAAAAATAGCTCACACTTTAAAAATACATAATATATACAATGTTTTTTCATACAACAAAGACACACATATACACATATCATTTATAAATTCCAACTAAAAAATAAAAAATATTGATTACTATTGATACAATAATATCCCAGTAGGTACTAATATTTTATTTCTTCAAAATTTAAAACTATCAACATATTCTGCATTTTTTTATAACAACCATTATMCCATTGGCAAATACCAAACTTATACATCCCCCCAAATTATAATCAATTTAATATATTGGTAAGATATCCTAACGATAATGCATTATTGAAGAGTCCCTATAATATTTTTTATTTATTTGCATATCAAACGTGTTGACGATTTATTGTGAGAAACCGTTGCGGCAAAAAATCGAATGTAATAATTTTGACATTGTCATACCATATATCATAATTTAAAATATACTTTTCCGTCAACAAACCGGTATAATATCGCAAGCATTCTGTCGAATATAGGCGTATACACTTACGTGGGAAGCGATAAAACATTATTTTTTGAATATTTGTTGTAGGGTTGTTTTTGCATGCATAGCATTTTCGTATCGGTGTCCAATCATGTAAAGACCGTTGTGTTAGTCCCTTTAACACAAAATATGGCGAAATTTTGAAAAYTTGTACAAAATTACACAGTTAACTGTTAACTCATGTAATAGTACCATTTAAAAKTTCATTAATGAGATATAAGTCAAAATAATTGCCGTCCTGATTTAAATTAATTAACACATACAAGCGCATATTATTGCAGAAATATACTTCATGCCAGGGGTGGCGAACCCATAGCACGCGTGCGAAAAGTGGCACGTTTGTCAAATTTAAATGGCGCGCGAAAAATTAAAACTGAGAAAAATTTTGATATTTTTAAAATTTTCAATTTTGCTTGTTAAAAATTGAAATAAATTATAAACATTTTAAAAGTTATAATATTCCTATGTAAGTAAAATTTATTATGTTACTATATTTTATATCACTATAATATTTATTATATTATATTTAGTGTTAACAAACTTTGGGCACGTAAAAAATTGTCAAACCCTTGATTGCAAAAATTTGGCACTAGACCCAAAAAAGGTTCGCCACATATTTACATAAACATAAACTTTCTTATTCGTTGTATTACCGTCGACCATTCAAATAGTATTTTATATATATTAAAGGTAGACACTGCAGGTGTGTGTGTTATGTGCATTAATKTGCAAGATAAAATGCATACATCATAATATGCTACAATACTACATTTACAATGTAATCAATAGAATATAAATTGTAAATAATATGCTTCTAAGAATGGATAGGCAATGTTGATGCATGTAACGCAGCGAGGCTGTTCAAAAACATATCATAACATGGTAACTACGTTTAGACGTTTACTAGGTTTCACAATTTTTTTTTTTTTTTTAAACGATATTTAGCGGAATTATCACCATTTTTTGCCAAATTTTTTTTCTATTTTTTGAGACTAATAGTGCTGAACTGGTATAAATATAACAGACCAATCGTATGTCCAAAAACATAGCATAGTATTTTTCACTCAAGACAATTTGGTTGAAGTTTATAATWTATAACTAGCTGCAAATCCCCGTGCACTTCGTTGCCCGTTAAAAATACCGACTGTATATAATTCAGATGTTTTGTTTAATTCRTCGTTTATAACCGGCTAGTCATGATCAAAACTTRCCATGGATTTAACCTATATCATGAATCTCCATAAAACATTTTTAACACAATAGTTTAAAATACAGGACTAAAAGTATATTCAATCAAAATATTTGAAGGTGATACAATTTTAAAAATTGGTACCTAATAACAAATTGCTATTATTTATTATTCATCCATACTAAATTGTATAACCAATAACAACCATTGTATAAACAAAAGTATAATTCATATTATTATTATCATTATTATATTTATTGTARAAATTTCAAATTTTCAATAAAAAAATTAAGGRCCACTTATCAAGGTAAAATACAGCCTATAGATTCATGGGATTGTGTAGCTTTCTGATGATATGTCAAATTTTAAATCAGTTAAATATTTCCAGAGATTAAACCGTTCAAACGAACAATTTTTCTTCTTTATTATATTATACTACCCGTTGTCCTATTGGCTATTACCCGTTTTCCCGTAGGAATGAAACATTTTCCCGCGGTAAAAAGTAGTCCATGCTCTTCATCAATGATAATGTCGGCTTCTAATGGCAAAACAATTTTTCAAATTAGTCAAGTAGTTCCGGAGCCTATTCAATACAAACAAACAAATCTTTCCTCTTTATAATATTATAGTGTAAGACTCTTTATTAAGTCTAATGTTTCTATTTTATTATTATAAATTTGTTTAGAACATGTGCAATTAAGTAGATCATATTAACAATAATTTCTGGTGAAATAATCATTGTTGTTYAATAGTGATTTTTCATTGTAAATATTAATTTTTAAATAATAAGGTTTAATAAAACTCGGACTACTAACAACGTTTCAACTACGATCTCGATTTGATCATACCATAAAAATGTATAGTTTTTCGTTTTAAGATATTGTGCAAATATGATATTTTAATGCTCATGTCAAACATAATAGTATAATATACAGGTACTAGTGTGCTACCCTATAATAACAGATTAGATTTTGTACAACTCTTTACATTTTATTCTTTTCGTTTCGTTTCCCCGATGAAAGCCCAACAACGCCCCTGATGTATAAGCATATTATTCTTTAAACAATATTGTACCGACGTCTTTTGTGCTTCGAGAACACTAAAAATTATGATTTTGGTTCACATGAGTGAATCATTACACTCAAGTGAGTCGGTCGGGTATACAGCTTCACCGCATTTTTGTTCAGTTACCTCCTAAAATATATTAGACTAAGGAATTAATATATTATTATTACCTCACGCGGATGTGCGTTTGATTCAAAAGGAACATTATTGTACGTGCAATAGGTACATCGGAGGTAGAACAGCTGATGTACATACACTACACAAATGATTATTAAACAATKAACGATGAATTTTTAAAACACAAATAAAATTTATTTTCATATCACTTAAATTTTTTATTTGTATAATATATACGTATATATAAATATTCTTTTTACAATATAGGCCTTCGATACACTATTACTATAATACAATTTACTAMATTAATAACCGAATGTGTATGTTGGCCGAACATACTCTTTCAGAGTTAAATTCTTTAGTAATACAAGATTGTACAAATATAGTGTACCTGTAAATGAATGGAAGTTTTTTCTCTTCTTTTTTGATTGGATGTTTACAATATAATATTACAAATACATTATATGCAATAACATATATACATGTTATAATGTTGGTATTTAAAAAATCATAATTTTTAAATATTTAATTTAAAGGCACTGTAACAGAGTGGTTCAGTTGTTTACAATACTTAAATKAAATTTAAAAAACAAAAACATCTGCAGTATCGTCAACGTTGTCAATTATACATGTGAACCTTTAAATTTAAAAAAAAAATAACCCATCGATAATAATTACACTAAAAAAAAAAAAATAATACTAATAATAATATAAATCACAGGTGGCCCCCACTTCATATCGTAATGGAAAACGATAGAGAGCTGATGTTAAGACTAAAAACAATATAATATATATTACATATTACATATTATTTCTAATAATATAATAAACGATTATACATTCAAACGCGCTGCACGATGATATTGAATATCATTATCAAATGTTTACGATGATCAGATTAAATACAAAACGAAATGTTCATATTTTATACATTATATTTATAAGTGCATCATGTCGTCAAGGCGAGAATGTACTTGCCACTGCTGATCACCAACCGTTGTCATCGTCATCGGTAACGACGACGGTGGCGGTGTGCTACCTCCATTCGGAAGCGGAAGCGGAAGCAGCAGCGGTGTCGTAATACGAAGCGGGGGATTTGTTTCAATAAGCCGCGGTCCCATGATGGTGATGGGCCATTAGTGACGTGTGATGGTGTGGGTGATGATGATGGTGATGGTGATTTAGGTCGGTCAGATAGTGGTGACCGTGGTCGACGGACGATGGTTGAATGGACGGCGTGCCAGGTCCGGTGTTCATGTACCTGTAGAGGGYCAGAAGATCACTGTTAGACAATTAATTTAATATACATAATATTATACACATTAAAAATGGCGATTTCATGTCGTTAAGTTTTCTAATCAGAGTCTTAGTTTTGAAGGCGTACTTATTGTTAACATTTAAATATATTTCAATTGTGTACATGAAAAAGCGAAAAAGACATTATAATAATAATTGTTGTTATGATAATATAGATGGTTGAAATAACGAGATACATAATATAACATAATACATCTCATTCTTCACGCCACGAATTATTTTCAGACCGATGACATTTGTGCAATATAGTATATTTTTTATGGTCGATTAATACGTATATTGTTGTTGTACCTTGTACAATTGCACATGTTTTATAGTTGAATGTACAAAAATTTGAAATATTTCACGTTGTCATTTGTTGTGCATCTATTGGAACATATATAAATATATAATTTGTATTTATTGTACAACAACAAAGTACCTATAATAAATTTCATTGATTGATATAAGTGATAAAATACTTTAAACATAGATTAGCTTTTCTACCTAATGTAATATATTTGTTTTTAAGCAAATATATTTTAGGGTTGGATACGCGTTTTTTGTTTCTGTCAATTTTTTCAAAAGATATTCGTTGTCATGGTTACTTATTAGTTATCAACAAAAGTATATTTATGATGCACATCATATAAAGTATAGCCTGCMAAKGTATTTATTTATTGGTTTARTTAATATCGTATTAAATGTTTTTTGAAAACTTCTAATCGTTTCTGTATAAATATTTATGTATTGAATACTGAAAACTGTGAAATGAGTTAATAAATGGTTAATAGTAATAATATCTTAAAATGGTCGATATTATATAGAATTATTTTGTCAGTGAACAAAAAAAACTTTTTCACATTACATTAATTAGAATATCATATACACGTCAGCAACCGAAATACAATTTTGTATGTAAATMTATTATTATTATATACAGTCTAAGAAAATTCTTGGATCTATTCGGTTATCTAACTACCATTAAAATTTTCATATTTCTTGATATAGGTATACTGGTTTAATTAATTATTGATACATTATTTTTTACCATTGATTACCATTTAATTATTCAATAAATAAATTAAATAATTAAAAAAAAAAAAAACACAGAAATATGGAAATTGTAATGGCCGAAAAGATGCAAATTCTTATTTTAGATGTGCTTACCAATCGGACGTTGGCGGTGTGGGCAGTGGCAGCGCCGTTGGGTGTAGGACGGACGACGGTGTCTGTGCTCCGTGGTGGTGATCTACGGGCGACACAATGCTAGGCGTCGCAGTTGTACAGCTGTCGGTCACCCTGATCGAACCACCGGACGAGCAGTTGGAGTCTTCAGAGTCGTAGTTGCCGTCGCTGTCCATCTTGCCGTTACCGTGCACCTATGGAGATAAATAAACATTAATTAATAAATATGAATAAAATGTTAAAACGAACAAATCGACCCAGGTGTTATCCTGGAATAATGCTGCTGTAATGAATTTATTATCATTCGGCGGATCGGGCTTAGGGGAGATATTATAATATGTATTATTTACGTAAGCAGAATGCGTACCTTCATGTGCTTTCTGAGGGAACTGGGATGAGTGTACGACTTGTCACAGCCAGATATCCTACAGTTGTACGGCTTGTCCGATGTGTGTACGTGCGAGTGCTTTTTCCTGTCCGAACTGTTGGCGAACCTACGGTCACATCCTTCGTACTCGCATTTGAACGGCTTCTCGCCTATAAAAATACAAAAAATGTTATGTTAATATTATTATTATTATTATTATTATTATCATCGTCGTTGTATTATTCCAACGATCAGTATATTTGTGCATCACGTGGCCCATAAACAAAATCACAAAATAATACAAGTGATTCCAATGTTACTGCGGGAGGTTAGGAAACTGTCAAATGCACACAATGTGTTCATACAATAATTTACAGCAAAAATCCGGTGATGTACATTATTTTTATCGTTTTCGTTTCGATAGTGTAGTAAGTCGAGTAATGGAATTTTTCGGAACAAAGACATCCAGTAAATTACTTATTCAATACCTACATATGACCATATATAGAGAAGGAAAAAAAGGTCGTTTAAAAACCTTGAAGATTTTAGGTCCGAGACCCTTTTTTTTTGTTGTGCGTGGTGTGGTCAATATCGTTACTTCTGGAGTTCAGGTTCACTTGTGTTACTCGGATAGCCCATAAATCCTCTTCTAAATGGTATGAGAGAATACAAAAGGCCTTTATACGTAACCCGTGTCGAATCATCGATTTCTCCAAAAAAAAAGAAAGAAAGATTGTTCTGTTTTTATTGTGAGACCAAATTTTGTGTAACATTCGACACTAAGATTGACGAATATGTCCTTGGTCATGATATCATATTATATCTTTTAGCGTGTAAATTGAGTTTGCATCCATTTCATTGGTATKGTAGTTATTTAGGGATACATTTTTCCATTCAAAATATATTTGATGGTACCTATACATTTTTCTTGTTCGAAATGTATACAAAAAATAACAACACGTTTATTATTACGCATTTTAAATATATTTATGATTGACTACAGGAGGTGAACCATAATGTCTCTCATCCCATCTATTATTATAACAATATCTATTTTGACGATTATAATATTATTTATTCCGAAGTTTTTATTACCGAGCAATTACACGATTCAGACATGATTGGAGTTTATGTGGTTGGTCACACGGTATGCCTACCTATGACCTCTTTTACGATAACTCGTAGACCGATATTGTTATTCATTGCAAATATTTTTCATTCCCTCCCCCCCTCCTACCACTCGCACTAAGGTCAGACAGTTGAAAAGGAGTTGAAAGCTTGTTATCGACAATCTGATTATAGCAATCGACATGGTAACGTTCTAGACGGATTCACACCTCCATATGAGAACCGGACTACCGGTCGTGTTGATGGCGTGTTCAGTGTTTTGTTCTTGTACAATAATGTAATATGAAARGCCCCATTATACATGTCGTTGTTGTGTTAGTATAGACAGTATAGTCGTTAAATACGTAAACTATTATAMAGGAATACATTTTAGGGGTAGGACTCGGGCGATGATAAAGTAGTAGGTACGCGACGGTCGTTTAATAGACTATTAAAAACATATGAAAAAAAAATAATAAATCTGTAATATTTTTGGCCACGACATAATAATAATAATATATCAAACGATAAAACAAAAATAATACGACCAGATTATATTATATTATATAGTGGGAGACGACGTATTTCGTTTTTACATAATTTAAACGCCTACGCGCGTCGRCTAATAAAATATATTACTATCGAACTACGGTCAATATCAATATACGACGTGGTTAGTATATAAGCGAATATTATTCCCCCGGCGCCTAAGTCGCGGGTCAGTTTCTTATTGGTAATAAACGATTAGCGACACGTAACGGCAATGTTTTCATTTTTAACGACTCCRGAACGCCTGCATCAAGGTATAGGCACCTTATACAAACGAGCTGGAGATGAGTGTTTTAACGATTTACATATGTTACGGCATACAATGGACTGGAATGCAATAAAAATATACATACGTGTATGTATGCGTGTACACATACAAGCATACATCGTCAAAAGATAAGTGTAATAAAAATATTCTTCGTTTTCTTCGTCCTCCTGCTCCTATATATGCTATTCTTCTTTCATAATTTGGGTGGCATTTCCAAGGACTCTTAATTTTTAATGAGTTATTTAAAAAAAGTACAACTAAACGGGTTTATGACTTATGGGTTTGAGATGCGTATAATGAAAACAACGTGGAAGTATTATATTTCGTCGTGGATGATATATACGCGTCTCCGGAATATTGTGCCCACTCACGGCTGGTACAGCTGCAGATAATATGTTGTCTACCTCTACCGGAGATTTCAATCGCAAATGGTTTGAAATGTATTTTAATCGGAAAACAGCGTGTAGCGTAGGAATAAGGAAACACGTCTTACTAAAAACACAAACAAAAACAATTACAAATTTCCGCTAAGCGAAAAGGTATATGCCGTGTAATTAACGCGTATTGTTTTGTCGTAAGCYAATGAAGAAATATCTGACTCCCACAAGAGATGATTCTCATATATAGCCTTTTCCTGGTAGATTTATGAAAGAATTGTGTGTAACACGTTGTGTAAAGTTCAAATGAATATTATATAATATTATATTATACATGTATAACGATAGAAGTATTACGCAATATCAATCGATATGTCGATTGTTCGTCACGAGCATACTTTATTTAATGTACCTGAAGGAGTAATATATATATACAAATCGAAACCTATATAGTATCGTAGATCTAAAACGATTATTTATTTTATTTTTTATTTTGTTAAGCTCTCTATTGTCATATTTTACATGTATCGTCCGTGTCGTATCTAACATGCATCGGACGCGATTTATTTCACTTAAAATGCATTAACTTGTAAGCCCGGTGACGGCTCAAGAACTTACTTGTCCGATGCACTAGGGAATTCGAGGGTAACATCGAAAGGGAACAATAGAGTTTAGATGTAGATATCTTAGATTTGTGTTCTGAAATATGAATTCGGCATGTACACTGACGGTCACCGACCTTACAAATAGTGCTATTGTTTTATCACTTCGGAATTAGCGATGAATGAACGCATGAAATTCGACTCACTGTAGTTATATTATTATAATTATTGAATTTCCAGTTTCCACCACCAGTCACCGCAGTCACCACCAACAATAAATATGTCTTTAAATAATATTGAAAACGAATAGAATATCATCGGAAAAGTCAATCCATATCTGTCAGATTTATATATTTATCGTGGGTGCTTATAGAACGTATKCGCGTGCGTGCGTGGGTCCACCACGAGCAGCTGGACAATGGAGTACACATCTGCCGGACGGAAGCGTCGATGACCAATGACTCCAGAGAAGAGGACCATTACAAAAGATCGCTACTTAATAAAATCTCTATTGAATATCTATACGGTATATAGGTCCCGAAAGGACTTTAAGGTGCTGAACGAATCGACAGAAAAGAAATACCCACCCGGTGTTAAATTGTAACGGGGGCCAGCACCTTCGCGACGGGACGTCCATTGTGAACTAACACGCGTGTATGTGCGCACGATCATAAATATTGCACACAGGACATATTTTTTCGCCTTCTTTTCTTCTTCGATTTTCGGTTTCCTAGAATAAACTTTTTCTAAAATGCTAGCGTGCACGTATAACACTAGTTGAGTCCTTTTTACATGGACATTTAGACCACACGCAACAGACAAGCTCTTAGATTGAGAAAATAATAACATATCTTATAACATGTCAGCCGTTAAACACAATAATATTGAATAACTCCTACCGTTACAGTTGCTCTTATACCTACATCATAAATTATTATTAGTGTACATCCTCTAACCCATCTCTGCAGTAGGTACACAGTAATAATACTTAGTATGTTTTGTCGATGAAAATAAAAACGATAAATTCAAATGAAAACTATCTTGACCCATATAAAAGGGTAGTGTGTAAATCCACCTCATACTGGCATTCGGTTCTCAATACAACGACTATTACTGCAAACATAATAACATACAATACAAGTACCCAAATATATAATGCGACCAGTCTGTCAGCCAATCGGAACGCGTGTGCGCAACACCTCTATTGTTTCGGACGCGTACAAATAAACGCAAATCATTTCGTCTGTACGTACATATCTCGTCTACCGTATGAGGGTATCAATAATGATAATAATAAAATTATAAAAACAATAAAAAATAAAAACAATAATAACAATAATTACTGATTGATGACTCGATTCTGTTTAAACAATGTTATGCCTTAAATATTATTATTACGCCGAGTTTTCTCTATTGTTTATGTTTCGATGTACACCCGCGGGCGACCCCGCGCGCTAGACTTCGACAACATTACAACAGCACGTGTGTTAATGAACAACGAAACTAAATAATTTTCAAACATCTCGCGACACGTGTAGCACGAACTGTATTATGATATCATCATACATTATCATAATACCTCATAATTATTATTATAATATATTTTAATTTATTTTATAGTAGTACCGATAATCTAATAAGCACGCGAAAACCAATGGGTATAGTCATATCGTAGGTATATATATATATGCGTGTACATGGTTATAATATAGTCACCTAAACACGCAATGATATTATGATAAAATAATCGTAAAGTATATGTGATATACTTACGAGGCTACGACGCGACGGTTTGTGGTATGAAATATACACGCGTGTAAAATAAATGAAGAAAACAAATGAAATAAAATATATATAAACACCGGATCACTTTTTTTTCCAACCGTCAACTACTACCATATAATACGTCCGAGTATATTACAGTGATATTGTATATATATATACACATAGTATTAAGTCGACTTATATTATACAAACGGAGGACTATAAACGTATATACCTATAACATAATATTATGCGTATTGTATATACATACATAATAATTTATAGCCATCTCGATTCCGGTGGTCCGGCAGCAAAYGACACTACAAATCAAATTACGAGTCCACTTGCAGTTTTAATTATAAGCGGACAATTAAAAGATTGTACAATCGCCGTAATGAATTTACAATATAAAATGGCTTATTATATATGAATTAAACAACGTCTGGTCGTTTTTTACTCGTATGAATATAATGAGTGGGTAACTCCTGAGAACCGTCTTCGGTTTATTATTATTTATATATTTTTTCATATGCATCTTTTATTTTTCAATCATCCTACAGCAACAGCACTTATCTCAGGATATCATTGTCATACGCGTTGGTATATTTCTGTGATTCGTAAATGCGAGGGGCGGTAGATAGAACATGACAGGCGCAAGAACGTAATATAAAGAAAGACGTAATAATAATAAGGGTTATAAACACAGAATTTGTCAGCTCCACAAAAGGGTTGTACAATATAAAAGAAATCATAACAACCTTGAGGAACGTTACCGGTTTACATATATTTTCGTAAGGATTTATGGTTTTGTTCTACTCGGGACATAATTTTATTGTTTCGCGTGTTTGGCCAGCACATTTTATTATTATATACCATCGTAATTATTCAGAAACATATAATATGCGAATATCGTATTATTCAACCACAACTATAATATACAATGTACATGTGATTTTGATGTCTTTTTTTTAATGCTACCTATAGTAGATTTGTTTTCATTAATATTGAGTGAGATAAAATTCATTAATAAGTAGCTC